AAAAGTCAGCTTATACAAAACATAACAGTACAGAACTTTTAACTTTTATAAAAAATCAGAGTTTTACAAGATATGATTTAAAATTGATCACAATTTTCTTTCCATTGATTTAAACAACAGAATAAAAAATGTAGACATTAACTATAAAACTTTTGTTATTATATAAATCTGCAGCACGCCTTAGCATGTATCAAGCACGCATTTCATATGTCAAAACTTTTTTGTATTTGTTGCCACATTTATCATTAAACTTTCAATACTTTCTTTTCTATCTTTCTTTCTTCCTTTATCTGTCCCTGCATGAACTGGTATAACACAAATGTCCCCAAAAATGTTCAACTTTTTTTTGGGACATTTACTATGTTGTTGGTCTTGAAGGTGTTGACCTTGTCCGTGTATTCTAGCAGTGTGTCCCCCTGGATCTACAGGATCTCCTCCTGAGTGTAAATGTGCACATGGATATTTTGGAATCTATCCCAGCTGCTCCTGTACTGAGGATAATACTGCATACTTTGGTAAAACATTCAAAATAGTTTCTCAGCGATGCAAGGTTTAACAAATGGTTGCTTAGAAGGGGAAAAACTGGAGCCTAATTCACCTAATTTCCCCCAGATGGAACCCCCATGCTTTAGTTCATTTTCATTATTAAATTCTAACAGAAAGAGGGAAGGGTAGTCATCCTTATCTTAACCAGGTTTTCTTTGAAAAGGGGATTCCCTTGAAATATTTTAGATGATCTCCTTGTTTTTCTTTCGTGCATCAAGTTCTAATCAATTCCATTTTTATTTTATTTTATCTTTGAATTAAAGGAAGTGGAAGCGTAATTTTAAGTGACCCTTTGTGCAATGGTAATATTGCCGATTCACAACGGTACCCTTGAAACCTTTATCTGATCAATAATGTGGAAGATATTGTTGTTTTTTCTAGGATTTAAAGTCTTCCTAATTTTTGTTCTCCAGTAGATAAATAATAAGATTTGATTCGACAAAGCTTTCAAGGGTACCAATGTAAATCCGACATTGCCCTCTTGCCATGGAGGGTCATTTGAAAATAGGCTTACAGTCCCATTAAGGAAATAACGTGGTTGTTGGAACGGATAATCTGCAAAGTAGCGCGGCAGACTGCGCAGTTTCTTGCCGCGCACACGAGGAATGTGAATTCTGGACCTGGGGAAGAAACGAACCTGAAGGACCCTGTTATTTGAAGGAATGCACTTTTGAAAAAAATTCGCATGTTTTTTATTTGCACGATTTTTTGCGCATGGTTTTGTTAGTTTGATGTTTGCACTTTTAACCTCAGTGTTTGCTCTGATCAGTCAAAATATTTGTTTATATTGAAGACATGTCTAAATAATATTTTTAGTCAACACAACCTAATATAATCAAATTTCATTCATACTTTTTTGGCGCTTAAAACCACAAGAGGTCTCGATTAATGAAAGATTAAAAAAGAGTATAAGTGTTTTAAAATGACAGTTAATTGAACATGGTTAAAGCATAGAGTATAAATAAAGTTAAGATAAATGTCTAAGGATGTAGACAATTAAGCAAGTACAAACTATAAGAGAAGCTAGAACAATATAAGTAAAATTATTAAAGAAGAAAGTTATTATTTTAGTATAAAATAAATAAAATAAATTAAAGTATGAGGAATAGTTTGTATAACGGTTAAATCTCTGATTGAATCTGATTGGAGAATATTTTCTCCAACCCCTTCTTGGTCAAATTTAATTCCCCCTGATTGGGCAATTGGTTTGAAAAGTGCATAACTTCAGCATACCCGGGAAAATGTGAGCCCAGGGCTGGATACGTATATATCAGGATCTAAAAATTGTGTAGTTTCAGGTAGTAAACTGCCCCAGTATATTTTAGTATGCATTTCGGAACTATGTTTACTTTAAATAAAAAAATCCGTTTTGGGCCCTTTTTCAATCAATGTCAAAGTTATCGATACGAAAAGAAATCGATAGTATTCAGCGCATCTTTAAATATCCATATTAACATATTTTGAACTTTACATTTTTGATTTCCCCCCTGAAAGTCATTTTCGCATTGAAATTTTAATTTTAAAGAATATTTTTTGACAATATTAATATTTTGAAAAAGTGTAAAAATCGGCCCCCTCTTAATATCCACTAACGTTGAGAGAGAGACGGAATTTTTAAACGTGGTTAAAGATGTTAAGGTCGTCATTTAAGTCTCGTGTTTTGTGGGTAAACCTGTCTGACAATTGTTCACAAAATCTATCTGAATGGTACATTGGATGCTGTGTAAATCACATCCATGTTATCTCAGTAGTATCTGAGAATTTTGTACAGTAAATATATTTAGCAGATTCTTTTTATCAAGCTAGATACCATTTTATTAAAATCTATTAAATTATTTTTTAAGAATTGTTTTTTTGTGTTTTTTTGTCGGTCGGGATTTAAAAATGTTGATTAAAAAATATTTTTTGTATATTTTTATAAATTCTCTAAATAAAAAAGAAGAATGTCATCATCACAATTCTGAAGCAACAGTAAAAGTTCAAATTACTGACAAGGTATAAAAAATCAAATCTAATCATATTTTGTGTTAAGGAGTTATAACCCCTGCTGGAGGAGGTTCCTGTACCCCTGATCAGTTTCAGTGTGGACCCCTCGGCAAATGTATTCCTCAGAGGTAAGCAAAATGTTCAAAATATGTTTCATTTAGGTATTTGTGCAAAATAGTAAAAATATTTTTAGGAAGAAATAATTGTGAAATAACGTAAATAAAATTACATATTTCGGATAAAAAGGGGATTACCATAAAAACTTTAAGAAAGGGGAAGAACAAAATTTTCACTTTGAGGGACTGTCGGCGTAATTTCAAAGTGAACTTCCATTTACTGAGTTACATGTTTGATTCGCTAAGGTACCCTTCATTCAAAGCATCGTTAAATTTAATCATTTTCATGACTTCCGAGACATGCGGAATTAATTTGTCGAAAAAAGGAAGAAAAACGACAATATCTTCCTCATTGTTATTAAGATAAAAGGTTTGAATGTTCATTTAAGAACCGGGAATCGAGATTGCAGAGTCATCTGAAATTACGTTGACATTCCCTTTAATTTAAATTTATTTAGATGGGTTTGTGATTATCACAAGGATTGTGAAAATGGAGAGGATGAATACAATGGATGCCGTGAGTATTTTTTATAAAAATATTTTTGAAAACATTGAATTGATCTAGTTCGATAGTTCCGTCAAATTTCAATGAATAGAAAGCTATTGTTGATTTGGGATCAGTACTTTTATTTTAACTATTTATAACACTGTTATTTTGGTTCGCAGTGTTATAAAGTTTTTGGACAGAAATTTTCTCTTTTCGAGAAGGTTCAAGTCGTTTTAGATTTAATTTTGTCCCAAGCTTTAGCAAGGGACAAAATATAATCTAAAAAAGGCGAGAACCTTCGAGATATAGAGAAAATTTAAGTCCAAAACTTTATAGCACGTCGTGCCAAAATAACAGTGTTATAGGTAATTTTTTGAAACGTTTGTGTACTTGTCTTATTTCAATGGCGATTTCTATAGATCAAATAAGCTTTGAAACAGAAGTAAAAATAAAAAGTTGATTTCAATTTTATTTTCATTTCAATTGCAGAAAATTATTTTGAAAATATCCTAATATTTTTGGAGAAAATCCGGGAACCAATCAAAATAATAGCACACGTGCTATTATGTACAGCTAATTTATCTTTATAGTATGATCGATTACTTTATAGTACGTTTATTATGAAATTTTACTATGAAGTGAGAAATGATGATAAAGTATACACAAATAGTTCATAAAATGTTAAAAATGTTTATAATTTACTCCGTCAGTTTCCCTCCTTCTGTACTTTATTTTTCATCAAATACCCTTTTATGGTGAAAGAAACTGAACTTTTGCCACAAACTCAAAATTTCTAATTTCTTTGCGACCTTAAAATAAAATATAGATAAAAATGTATATAAAATATAAATCGATATATAAAAAACTTGAATTAAATGATCTAACAGAATCATAGTTTGCAATCTTTTAAGATTTAGAGATAGGAAAATTTGAATTAGTGAAAAAAATCAATTCCTTTCCGATCAATCCATTATGTCATGTTGATTTCTTTGAACTTGTTAATATAGAATACGGACCCCCCTGTCTTGTATGGATCAATCACTATAACCAGTAGTACTCGTGTTGGTCTAGCTTCTGGTTTCATGTCTATTAAATGCTTGGTATAAAACTAATGGAGCGAAAGGAAGATAAGACGAGAGAAACTATATATCAATGTACATTGAGTAGTGATAAAAGAAAACTTGTAATATAATATTTTTTTTACAATTTCCTTTATTGTTTCTATAACAGAAATCCAAAACCAACTTATTTAGAGAAACCATTTTACATTTTACATTTTATGAATATCTCATAAATATTAACTGAAAATGCATTTTGTAAAAGTTTCTTTTTTCCACTTTGCAAGTGCAGAAGACTTATTCAGAAGATTTTCAAATACATTTTTTTAACGCAGGATTGGATATAAGTTCAGGCCAAAAATCCTTAAAATTTAAAATCGGATCTTTTTTAAATAATATATAAATGGATGTTGTGTGTTTGTTTAAGTATATGTCATTTGTTTACAATAAAGGTGTTAGAAAAGTCTGGATTTGTATTAGAATGAATTATTGGAATCCATCTTGAATTATTAGAATCCATCTTGCATTATTGGAATCCATCTTGAATTATTGGAATCCATCTTGAATTATTAGAATCCATCTTGCATTATTGGAATCCATCTTGAATTATTGGAATCCATCTTGAATTNGAATATTATTATTGGAATCCATCTTGAATTATTGGAATCCATCTTGTATTATTGTAATAAATTATTGCATTTTAAAATTCATATAAATAGTTTGAATTTAGTTTCAAAATCTTGGATTTTTGTTTTAAAAATATTTCTTCCATGTTGATTTTTTAAAATCTTTTTTTTTGCAGAGAATCACACGAGGGGGATCATATGTGCGGAAAACTACCGGAAGACGACAGTTCCGCTGAAGGACTTTTTATCCCTAAAGAGAAGGTACATTAGAAGGGGGTCAATGATAAATGGATGGGGGGGGGGAAACAAGAAGGGGGGGGATCTGAAAGGTTGAATAAACAAAAGTTCCCTTTGCTTTGTTACGGAAATGTATTGCCTGTATAGTGAAGTAAAAACTTATCTTAGAATATTTATTGCTCAATAAGTTTTGCGGAAAAAGTGAAAATATCCATCTTGCTTTCAACCTACAGTATTCATTGATTCATAGTTTTTGTTAAAACTGGTTAAAACTGGGAATTTTGAAGTAATTGTAAAAGGTCGAAAAATCGATTTCCTTAGCTTGTAAGATAATTCCCAATTTCATTTTTTTCAACGCAACATTACTTGATCCCATTTTTACCAGTGATTTAGTAAACAACTTTGTTAATCCCATTTTGACCAGTAATTTAGTAAACCATTTTGTTAATCCCATTTTACCAGTAAGTTAGTAAACCAGTTTGTTAATCCCATTTTTACCAGTAATTTAGTAAACCACTTTGTTAATCCCATTTTTACCAGTATAGCAATTCTTGATCCCGCCTTTTATTGTTTGATCCCATTTTACCGATATATTATTTCTCAGTCCCATTTTACCAGTATACAAATTTTCGATCCCATTATTATCATCACACCGCTTAGTGATCATCGCCAAAGGCGATCCCAATTTTAATACATGAAAAAGACATTTTTTATTATATCATAATTTTGAAATTATGATTTTTGTAAATAAAAATTCTCTGATAAACCTGTATAAACCTATTTGATGAGAAAATACTTTTTAAGAAGGGAAAAATATGCAGTAACTGAAAATTGAAATGTTTTTGAAGGTTTAATCTTGCGACGTCAAAACTGTCTTCTCCAGACTGAAAAGAACCTTCAAGGAAAATTTGAATAGGGCGCTCTTTTCAATTCAAAATGAAAAAAAAATCAGATCAAATTTTCTTCATTGAATTCTTATAAAAATAAAGAATTTGTTGAAACAATAAAATATTTTATGTTTACAGCGCCACCTGATTGTGAGTCTGGAAAGTTCACTTGTGGAGCGTACTCATACAATCAAACGTACTGCATACCCCCTCACTACAGGTACAACACATTTAAACGTACTGCATACCCCCTCACTACAGGTACAATACAATCAAACGTACTGCAGACCCCCTCACTACAGGTTCAACACAATTAAACGTACTGCATACCCCCTCGCTACAGGTACAATACAATCAAACGTACTACAGACCCCCTCACTACAGGTACAATACAATCAAACGTACTGCAGACCCCCTCACTACAGGTACAACACATTTAAACGTACTGCATACCCCCTCACTACAGGTTCAACACAATTAAACGTACTGCATACCCCCTCGCTACAGGTACAACACAGTTAAACGTACTGCATACCCCCTCACTACAGGTACAATACATTCAAGCGTACTGCAGACCCCCTCACTACAGGTACAATACAATTAAACGTACTGCATACCCCCTTACTACAGGTACAATACAATCAAACGTACTGCATACCCCTCACTACAGGTACAACACAATTAGACGTACTGCATACCCCCTCACTACAGGTACACCACAATCAAACGTACTGCAGACCCCCTCACTACAGGTACAATACAATCAAACGTACTGCATACCCCCTCACTAAAAGTACAATACGATTAAACGTACTGCATACAAGAACTGTAAGAAAAAACAGTTACAAATAAAAAAAGCGAAAAACTAATGATTATTATTGTTTAGGTGTGACAAGCATAAAGATTGTACAGACAACAGTGATGAAGAAAATTGCAACTATCGGTTAGTAACTTTAATTTATTAAATCTCATCTTGTTTTTCCTTTTATTAAAAAATGTAAACAATCCCTTAGATAAAATATATTCTTAATTTTTTTTTCAATGAAAAGCTTGGATTGTTAATATGTACATTGAAAAGTAGATGATTATTAATGATGGAATGAGAATATGATTAAATTGAAGGTTTTCAACTTTTCTAATATTTCATTGAAAAATAGAATAAGAGTTTCTGAGTTGATGAATTGTTATTAAATTGCACTTCTTCTTTCAATTTTATTACATTTTCCAAATAAAATTATTTTCATGGTGTCAAAAAAAATATTTTTTTTCTGTTAGTTTTGAATGATAGTAAGATTATATAATTTTTGGAAGTTGCACAAGGAAGTTACGTGCACTTGCCACGATGAATTACAAGAAGAGAGAGATTAGTATATATTTAAAGGTTAGGACAGGTTAAGACACTTTCCGGGCCGAGCGCTGCGGCTAGGACAGGCTAGGGAGCCGAGCGCCGCGGCTAGAAAAGGCTCTCTCTCTGTCTTGTAATTCAAAGCGGTATGCGCACTTAACTTCCTTGAGCCTCTGCCATAATTTTTTATTATTATATTTTATTATCTTATTATTTTTTTGCTATATATAAATACATTCATAATGGCTACAGGATATCCACAGGAAATCAAACTATTCTGAGGATATTAATATAGAAAATATAGATATATATATATATATTCTCTAGCAGGGGGTTCTTACTGATTTTCCTGGTATAGATTTTAGTCCAAACTTAATTCAAGGACAATCGTTATTTCTATCGCATTTGAGTTCAAAGTATTGAGAATTACAACTTTCTGTAGATGTTGGAATTCTTCTTGAATTTTGAATCCTTGGAATCCATTTTGTTAGAATTCTCTTATTATCTTAATTGTAGAAATTCATCATATTCATATTAGTTCTTGTAATTTGTATCGGTAGAATTCAGCTTGACTTCTTGGAATGTAATTTGAATTATTGGAATTGTTCTTTCTTTTTTTAAATTGTGAAAGTCCATTTTGAATTTTTGGAATCCATCTGACATTGTTGGATTCCATCTGGAATTGTTGGAATCCATTTTGATTTGTCATAATCCATTTTGGTTTGTCATAATCCATCTTAAGTATTGGAATTTATCTTGAATTATTGGCATCCATCTTAAATTATTAGAATCCATCTTGTATTATTGGAATCCGTCTTGAATTATTGGAATCCATCTTGAATTATTTTGTATAGTGAAGTAAAAACTTATCTTAGAATATTTATTGCTCAATAAGTTTTGCGGAAAAAGTGAAAATATCCATCTTGCTTTCAACCTACAGTACATTCCCAACATTTGAATACAGTACTCGACTCAAATAAATTAAATTTCGAAATAAAATCTATTTTATTTTATTTATCTTTGAAAAAACGTTTCTTTAACAACAATATTTAAACGAACAAAGTCTTGGATTTTGTATTTTTATCTCTTTAAGGTTTGCGACGGATATTTTGATTGTCGTGATAAATCTGATGAAGGGGAAGACTGTACCGGTATATCATGTGAGGTAAGTTTAACAATCTCTTTAAGATTTGTAAAAAAGCATAGTTCGGTGTCAAAAATAGTGTTAAAGAAAATCGAGTTTATAATTAAATTTGTAACATAGGAAATTATCAATGAAAAAGTTAGAAATATAAGGAAGATTTTAGTAAAATAATAGATGAAAAAGAGGAAAAATATATTTTTAATTAAACAAACGAAGAGTATAAGGGTGCAATACAGAAGAATAGAGTGCAAAAATAAGGAATAAAAGGATTACAATGAATCCTGAAAAAAAAGAAAGAAAGAATGGAAGAGATGATGGAAAAGAAAGAACTATGTAATAATATATTCTGATTTTCAAAGGGTTTCAAATATAGAATTCCTTGAATGCTGAACTCCGGTTGATCTCTGAGTCTAGCTTTCAACATATAAATGAATATAAAACATAACATTTCACATTTTAGGCAAAAAACTTACAAATAATCTTTCAAAATTATAATTAGACTTTTTGAAATTGCAAAAGTTTTTAGTTTTGCATCTTTATCAACAGTAAATGTTAATTTATGAAATTTTTTGACGGTAAAAAAAAAATTTCTTCAAAATACAGATATCATAAATTAAAATGCACATAGTTTGAAAACTGAAGGTAATTTTTATTGTGAATGCTATTTATGTTATATTTATATTGAATGTTCTGACACATTTTAAAGGATGTGGGGAAGGCCAAGGGGGGAGGGGATAGAATCCAGAAAAATTTAAGCCATAGAATCTGGTTTCAAATACAAGTGATAAGGTTCAAGCAGTGGAAACTCCTTTGAATATGAATTGAAGTGTTTCCATCAAACCATTTATTAAAATTCAAGAAATAGAAATATTTGAATGTAAGAGAAGGAGTTAAACTTGTTGTTGTAGGTTTAACTACTTCTTTTTTAACCTAGTCCAGAATTTTTTTTAATGCTATCATCATTGGCTGACTCTTGACGAGGGTTTTCAATTTTCTAAAGCACTTCCCACTCTTCACTAAACGCTACCATATCTGCGGTCAGAACACTGCAGATTACTTCAGAACACACTGATAGCTTAGTTGGGGGTATTCCTAGCCTGAAACAGTAGTAAATCTAAATTCAAACTGCACGTATTGATAATTTTCCAACTTTGATTAAAAGAAATTTTTAAACAGATGTGAAAAAGAAATTATGATTTTTTATTAGAAATTACTTTAAAGTCAAACGTATGAAAAGCAATCATGACTATTTTGTTTAAAACTAGCTCCACGAGTAAAAATAAATGGCCTTAAATGGATTTTAGGAAAATAAGATTAAAATTTGAATCCCTTGAATGGGTTGAATTCCCAAACTTATGTTTCCAAATCATTTCCCTGTTAAAGGAAAACCTTGACGGATTTGAACAGATTGATTTCAGAGAGAAAAGGAACTTGGCCGAAAGGAACATTTTAAATGGCAGAGGGGCTTTTAAAATGGGGGAGGTAAAAATCCGAATATTATGATGAAAAAATCCGAATATTATGATGAAAAATCAAAACAATTTTTTTAACGGATTGAAATAGTCGAGGATACAAACTGGTTCCGTCTTTTCATAAGATAAGATTTCATTTATTTTCATTTCATTTCATAATATTTAAGGAGGGTTGGCCCTCAATTTTTCTTATGCTTGGTGTATGCAATATGCATATATATATGTAGTATGAATGAATATTATTTTTTCTAAATAGATATTCATAAATTTATAAATTACATGTATGTTTTGATAGATTCTTTGATAGATAGATATTTGAAAAGATGGATTTTTTAATAGATCATTGAAGGTTTGGTTTGATAGAATAGATAGAATAGATATAATAGATAGAATAGATAGAATAGATAGATATCATAGATAGATCAGATAGAATAGATAGAAGAATAGATATAATAGATAGAATAAATAGAATAGATATAATAGATACAATAGATACAATAGATACAATAGATAGAATAGATAGAATAGAAAGAATAGATAGAATAGATAGAATAGATAGAATAGATAGAATAGATAGAATAGATAGATATCATAGATAGATCAGATAGAATAGATAGAAGAATAGATAGAATAGATAGAATAGATAGAATAGATAGAATAGATAGAATAGATAGAATAGATAGAATAGATAGAATAGATAGAATAGATAGAATAGATACAGTAGATAGAATAGATAGATGAATAGATAGATAAATAGCTATGTACTGATTGGATCTTGATGAAACTGTTCTTGCGAAATTGAAACCTATAACTATATATTTGTTTGCTTTTTTACTTTTTTTCACAAGTTTCAAGTTTGTACCTTGTACCTTCAAATAAGTTTTAGTTTAAATTTCTGTGCTTCTTCTTGCATTAAAATAATTAAAACATTAGTTATAGCTGTGCAGAGTGCAATGTGCATATTTTGGTGCAAAATTAGTGCAAAATACAACAACACCCAATTTAAAAGAGAATTCACCAACTTAAGTTTAGGGGATTTTTTTTCAGAATTTGTTACCTAAACTTGACACTTTTATGCGTGGCAAGAAAGATTATTTTTTTAGCTTCAAAGACAGAGTTTCACTATGATAACTTTAGGTGATGTTAATAGGCATACTTTCAATAAGTTATTGATATCAATTTGTAAAATGTTTTACATGTACAATATTGATTTCGTATTTTTCTTCATAATTAGTAAATAATTGATTTCAATTTGTTAAATGTTTTACAATATTGATTTCATAATTTTTTTCATTATTAATGAATAATTGATTTCAATTTGTAAAATGTTTTACTGTACAATATTAATTTTCGTAATTTTTTTTTAAAAAGCGTCCGTGATTTTAACTTAACTTAACTTTTAGGCCCTGAATGCAAAAACTGGCTGAATGTATATTGTTCATTCTTATAATTAAAACAGCAATTTTATTTAAACTTTCAACTATTATTTTAAACGGCAAAAAGCAAAACATTTCTAATTAATGCAAACTTACAGACAAGTTTTTGTCCATTCAAATTATAATTCAAATACATTTGTATGTGCTTTATATTAATGCATATTAGATTATTAGGCACTGTTATTGATTATAATAAATGTACACTATAAGCTTAACCGATATCACGCAACCGGAGGATAGATGGATTAAACCGTATTGCATTCTGGATTTTTTATTTTTCATTTGAATGACTAGTATTAAATAAAAAATGGTGGTCAATATTTGGTTTGGCACGCCATTTTCAGAACTCGTGATGCAGCTGATTTGAATGTTTACTTCTTGTCCAGTTCTCGGTTCAATTCATCTATTCATATCATGATCCTTCCTGGCAATCTTTCATGCATACATCCCTCCACATAAATTTCACTCCCCCTCCCCGTCTAAAACTTTTCCATAAATCCNTTAAGGTAAATCATCCACGCATCTTTTCTGACCTAATTATACCAATTCCTTTGTTTTAGTATTACTGAATCTTTAAAACTGTATTTATATCAAAATTAGTATTAAAAATTTCCCCTCCCCCCTCTCCCCTCTAAAAGACATTTCATGTTGTTAAGTTCGATCAATGTTTTATGATTCTCACTGTATCTAAATTCCCCATCTTAAGGCTTGTATGATATTCATCCATGCATACAGTATACCCTTCCTCCCCTCTCATCCATAATACTCCAGTAATTGTTTTTATGTTGATATGATCCACAATTATATATCTATTATCTATGTTTATTAATAATGGCCTCCATTATTTGGTTTCTCTCAAGATAAAGAATTAGATAATATTTACAACAATGCGGTGGGGGGGGAGGGGGGGGGTAAGGATGCATAGTTTCTGAAGAAGCGGCATGCCCGAGTCACAATGGTACCTTTTTCTTATCAATAATGAAGATATTGTTTAATTTTTACAATTTCCTTTATTGTTTCTATAACAGAAATCCAAAACCAACTTATTTAGAGAAACCATTTTACATTTTACATTTTATGAATATCTCATTCATTCTTGATTACACAAAGCTGTTAAGGGTACCGTTGTGTATCGGACATGCCACTCCATGAATAAAGGGTTGCTTTTGTTTTCTGGAAGCTGAAGTATTTCGTAGCTTTGTAGTTTTTTGTATCTTCTATCTGACGTCTCAGTCTGACAAACTTGGATATTTCGAATTATTTATTTATATGCTTTGATCCTTTCATCATGCAACGGACGTTTTCACTACAGCTGTATCAGGATATGTGAAAAAGGATAGATCTGGGAACTAGGATACAGCAACTAGGATACAGGATCTAGGAATTTGGATACAGGAACACGATACAGGAACTAAAATACAGTAACTAGGATACAGGAACTAAGTATACAAGAACTAGGATAAGGATCTGGGATACAGGAACTATAAGATACAGGAACTAGGATACAGGAAATAGGAAACAGGAAGTAGGATACAGGAACTAGGATTCAGGAACTAGGATTCAGAAACTAGGATTCAGGAACTAGGATACAGAAACTAGGATACAGGAAATAGGATACAAGAAATAGGAAACAAGAAGTAGGATACATGAACTAGGATACAGTAACTAGGATACAGGAATTAGGAAACAGGAACTAGGATACAGGAAGTAGGATACAGGAACTATGAACTAGGAATTATATAAACATTTTGTAATTAAATTTTGTTCTAGATTTCTGAGTTCCGTTGTAGAAATGGGGAGAAGTGTATCCAGAAGTATCAACAGTGTAATCATAGGAACGAATGTGAAGATGGTTCTGACGAGGAGAATTGCAGTAAGTTTTTAATTCAATCTTTTACCTAATCATTGATCTACTTTTTCTTTAATAATTGATAATATCATTTTATTTTTTATATTTTACCGTGTTTGATGATTTTGTTAGATTTCCCTCCCTGCCATTCTGGACAGTTTCGATGTGAAAACGCACTTTGCATTCCTGCACGTTGGAGATGTGACGGATACAAGGTTAGCAAGCACAACGAAGAAATTATCAATATTTATTTTTATATTTTTCTAATTAGTTAATCATATTATTCGTTCAAACTTTTGAAGTCTTGTTTGGAATTTCTAAGCTTTGTACAGACTTAGTTTGAATGTTGTGTACTTAATCATTGTTTTCGTAGATAGTCGATGTTATGTACATAATCAATGTTTATTGTATTTGTACATAGATTCAGCCTGCTTATAAACAGTCTTATCAATTTTTAAGAAGGGTCGACTTTGAAGTGTAGCAACGCCTTCGGCTTAGATTTTACCGCTCTAGCTCACTTATGCTTTTCTGTAGTCATTTACATGTAAATTTTAGCAGTATAAAGCGCTTAATGTTAGCTTTGGTATTTATTAAGTAATTGACAAAATTTTCATCGATTTTTGCTTGAAAGTCAGAGTGAACAGATGCTACTGTACACAATACATACACGTAATTAATGCTGTAGCACTAATACATAATTGCCGTTATTGTACTGCAGGATTGTACAGATGGATCTGATGAAAATAATTGTACTGCAGTCAGCTGTCCTAATAATAAGTTCAACTGTCCAAAGGTAATTTATCAAGGGTTTCAAAAATAAAATTTTCAGATTTCATTAGTGCTGTTATTTTTCATTAGTGCTGTTATTTTTCATTAGTATTCTTCTTTTTCATTAGTGTTGTTCTATTTCATTAAAGTTATGTTCTATTTCATTAGTGCTGTTCTATTTCATTAGTGCTGTTCTAGTTCATTAGTGCTGTTCTAGTTCATTAGTGCCGTTCTTTTTCATTAGTGCTGTACTATTTCATTAGTACTGTTCGGTTTTATTAGTGCAGTTCTAGTTCTATTTATTAAATTTTAGCCTGTTTATTCTATGTTTAGGAAAATTAACATTTGTCACAAACCGCGATTTTCTGACCTATGAACTATAAAATCTTTATGTTTGACATATCAAAGGTGTACACACTTATCTGGTTGCAATGATATACGGATTTGAAATGTTGAGTTTGAAACAAGCGTTCAATCCTTTCTATTTAATTATAACATGTATTAATTTCTTATGTTATTCATCTAATTTGATATTTATTTTTTATACTTTTTCTTATAGTTTAAAATTTGTTACAGGTCTTCTTAGATTACAGTTTTGAGTTCGAATTCAAATCATTTAAACGAAAATCATAAAAAACCAAATTTGCATTGTTTAGGGTGGTTTGAATGGATCCGCTAAATGTATAGAGAAGGATAAGGTTTGTGATGGTAAGAAGGATTGCGAGGATGCCGCTGATGAAACTGGATCATGTTGTAAGTTTTCACTCATCGTTTTCAACTATCAAAACAAAACCTTTTAACAGTTTAAGCTCAGCTGTTTTCCTTCACATTATAGCTGCATAAATACTGTAGTTTCTTAAGCAGTAATTTTACAATTGTTAAATATTGTGAAAAACGTTAATTTTACTTCTAATAATTGCTTGCGCATTTATGCTTTTGAGACAATGAAGAAGTTACCAAAATATCTCTACAATCCCATATAAACAAAGGTTTTTGGTAAAAAATCGTGGGGTCAGAATTAATTGACTAAATGTTATCTCAAAACTGAGCTGGGAATTTTAACAATTCTTAAAGAAACCCTTTTCCCCCTTAATCTTTTTCCTAAAATACTCCCTGCAGTATCACGAGTTCTTGTGGTTCAGTATAAATCCTATTTCCCTAAAATACTCCCTGCAGTATCACGAGTTCTTGTGGTTCAGTAAATCCTATTTTCCTAAAATACTCCCTGCAGTATCAGGAGTTCTTGTGGTTCAGTAAATCCTATTTCCCTAAAATACTCCCTGCAGTATCAGGAGTTCTTGTGGTTCAGTAAATCCTATTTACCTAAAATACTCCCTGCAGTATCACGAGTTCTTGTGGTTCAGTAAATCCTATTTTCCTAAAATACTCCCTGCAGTATCACGAGTTCTTGTGGTTCAGTAAATCCTATTTTCCTAAAATACTCCCTGCAGTATCACGAGTTCTTGTGGTTCAGTAAATCCTATTTTCCTAAAATACTCCCTGCAGTATCACGAGTTCTTGTGGTTCAGTAAATCCTATTTTCCGGCCATATTTTGACAGGAAAGATGGTTTATTGAAGATTGATATAAATTCTTGCTTTTTCAATAGATTTGAATATTGAATCCAGTAAGCTGAATTTCCTTATGTTAGTGTTGGAATAAGATATTTCTCAAGATTTTCATTTTTCTTTCCTCCCTCGAGAATATGTTTATTTATAATTGAGTAGAAGCATATAGACAAGGGTAGCAAAAACATTTGTTTTAGATTTGTTCATTGATTTTTAGTTGTTTTGTTTTCCATGTTATCAAGAAATTTAAAGGATTTTGTAATCGCTTGTCGAAAAGAAATAGCAGTACATTTGACTGGATATTTAAGATTTTAAGAACTATTATGAAGTTTTCCCCGGCTCAAATTTATTTGCCATAATAACAATTGCTATAACAACAAATGATAAATAATTTTGCTGGAGGTAACACTTGCCATAAATTACACTTACCACTTGATTTTTTTTCATAATTGCGCGGATTTGCGCCAAATTTATCATGAAAAATGTCTGAAAACTATAACTTGTAATGTTATCTCTTGTTCAGCCACTGGTAACTGTTTATCCCTGGGATGTGAGTATGAATGCCACACCTCCCTGGATGGCGGGTTCTGTATCTGTCCGCAGGGTAAGAAGATCGCAAACGACTCCAGATCATGCGTAGGTAAGACATCATCTGATTTAAAATTTTATTCTTTTCTAAACCCAGACTAACTAAAATTTTAACTTTATTGTCATTCTCTGACCTTTCTTCCTTTTTTCCCTTGAGTTTTCCATCCCCTCCCTTCCATTCGCCCTCCGGTGTTTCCTATCCTGTTTCCTTCTTTTCCCTTGTGCTTACCCTTCCCATTCCTTCCTTCTTTCCCCTATGTTTCCTTCCCCCCCCGTGGTCATTTTTCCCCCTGGATTTCATATTCCCTCTTTCTTCTTTTCCCCTGTGTTACCTATCCCCCCTTCCTTCTTTTCCTCTGTGTTACTTATCCACCCTTCCTTCTTTTCCCCTGTGTTACCTATCCCCCCTTCATTCTTTTCCCCTGTGTTTTCTAATATATATTGTTTCTATCTGTTTGCACATCAGTACCTTGAACATTAAAAACAGTGATACAAGAGTACAGGCTTCCTAGAATACAGAATACAGGGGTACAGGCTTCCTAGAATACAGAATACAGGGGTACAGGGTTCCTAGAATACAGAATACAGGGGTACAGGGTTACTAGAATACAGAATACAGGGGTACAGGGTTACTAGATTACAGAATACATGAATACATTGTTAAAGGGTTACATGGATGGATATTTTACCCCCCCCCCCCTCTTTGATATAAATTACAAGGGTATGATTTGTATTGACATTATGTTATGTTATATTTGATATTGTTTTATTTATTTATTTATGATTATTGTTTTCTATTCTAAACTTTGCATATTTATCAAGAAAGTTTTTACATATATCCTCACATGTTTTCGTATAGTGTTTCCAAATATATTTATAAATCATTTCTACACCAACTAAAGTATTCATGTATATTTCTAAACCATCATATGTATATTTTTCTTAACCATTCATAGTTATATAAGTATATATATATATATATTTTTTTGTTTGAAGAAGACTACACCCCCTGTATGTTTATAAATCATCATATGTATATCTTTCTAAACCATTCATAGTTATACAAATATATATATATTTTTTGTTTGAAGAAAACTACACCCCCTGTACATTTATAAACCATCCATGCCGAATCCCATTTTTCTAAATATTTTCAAATCCAAGTTGCCCATCAATATTTTATGATCCAATATATTACTGCGTCCATCTATATGTAACCATATATATTTATTTTATTTCTCTATCTCTCTCTTATACTACTCGATCTTGTTATGTCATTCCCGATATTTTAAAACTTGTATTCTTCTGTTAGATTATAAAAAATATCTACAGAAAGACCCATAATACTTTGGAAAAGGACTTGTTTGACTTAAGTTATAAGTTTTAATAGTCAAATGAACGTAAAAACAGCTTTTTTGCAGTATAATCCGGCCCATTTCAAGTAAAGGCACTTTTTCCTGTGGTTCTTAAAAAACAGAAGAAATGTTTAATAAGAGAATTTACTTGTATTTTGCATTTTTATAAGAGATATATATTTTTATATGAATCCTAATATTTATTACGGGATTATGAGAGTACACTGCGTTCTGCTTAATTTATATCTTATTCTAGAATAAAATTATGAAATATTTATTTCATGCATTTTTGTCAGATTTGAACGAGTGTGAGGAGTGGGGCTACTGCGATCAAAAGTGTGAGAATGTAGAGTATGGCGGGTCTGGATTCCGTGACCCGATAGAGACGGGTGGTTCTGGGTTCCGTTGTTCCTGCGTGGAAGGATACGAGCTGAAAGATGGCACCAGGAATTTATTCATTTTTACATTAAAATCCTAATTCTTGTTACGTTGTTTTTATTATTACATTATTCCAGAGGAGTCATTAAACACATCTACATTCAACTAGACAGGACAGGAGGAGAAGGTCAAATTTATTACTGTTTACAGCTTTGTGACCTCGTAGCTCCTCCAATTACCATTAGTTTGACGTGAAACACTACCCTTGCAGTTGCACATTATTACCATTAGTTTGACGTGAAACACTACCCTTGCAGTTGCACATTATTACCATTAGTTAGACGTGAAACACTACCCTTGCAGTTGCACATTATTACCATTAGTTAGACGTGAAACACTACCCTTGCAGTTGCACATTATTACCATTAGTTTGACGTGAAACACTACCCTTGCAGTTGCACATTATTACCATTATGCAGTTGCACATTATTACCATTAGTTAGACGTGAAACACTACCCTTGCAGTTGCACATTATTACCATTAGTTTGACGTGAAACACTACTCTTGCAGTTGCAACATGTAGAAAAAAAATTGCCTACACTTTTACCGAATCAGTTAAATTATTAAATTTTTCCCATAATATATAATGAATGATTAGATGCGAAGCAAGTCTTTCGTTACAAAAACCCTATCTCTACTTTACTCATGGAGATGAAATTTTGAGGGTAAGTGTTAGTAAAATTAATAATATTTAGTGTTTATACAAAATCGGAAATTATTCATGTATTTCTTTTTAACTTGCAAACTTTTGTTTTTAGTCAAATATTCAAAAAAGTCTTATTGAAATATATATTTTGCTTGATAATCATCATATTTGATAGCTAACAACAATTTCAAAGTCAAAAACAAACAAATCTAAATACATCAAAATTTCTCCAAAACCCGATTTTGTTTTCTTCTTCCTGTTGCATGGTATTTTGTTTTTGACAACTCACATGGGCCAGGAGATATTATGGACCACCGCAGTTGATAAATTTGGTCCGGAAATAATTATAGACATTTTTATTTTTAAGAATACACCATTTTAAAGAAAAAATCGCGAAAAAAAATGAGTTTAAAAGATAACTTTAATGCTTTATATAATAGGGGGGCGCAAAGCGCCCTAAATGTCTAGTTAGTGTATAAAAGGAATACTGTAATTGGCAATATATTGGATAATATTTGCCTGGTAAAATCCTTTAATAAATGGTTTAAGAAAGTATATATTGTGTATTCTTGCACGGTGTTAGTAGCAGTATTCTCGGCTTTACAGGCATTATACTAGAGCTTGAATAATGATGATATTATATATATATATATATATATATATATATATAATATATAACAACATAAAGTCATATTTTCATATTTTTATACTCAGTACCCTTCCCATCAATTCTACTCTCAGTCCCACATTCACTTTTTTACCGTCATTACTCAATTTTTCATCCATGATACAACCTCTCCCAAAAAGCCGTCTAACCAACCAACCGTTCTCCCTCTAGCCTACCAACCATTCTCCCTCTAGCCTACCAACCATTCTCCCTCTAGTCTACCAACCGTTCTCCCTCTAGACTACAAACAATACACTCTATAGCCTACCAATGGTTCACCCTCTAGCCTACCACCCATTCACCCTCTAGCCTACCAACCGTTCACCCTCTAGCCTACCAGCCATTCACCCTGTAGCCTACCAACCGTTCACCCTCTAGCCTACCACCCATTCACCCTCTAGCCTACCAACCGTTCACCCTCTAGCCTACCAACCATTCACCCTCTAGCCTACCAACTGTTCACCCTCTAGCCTACCAACCGTTCACCCTCTAGCCTACCAACCGTTCACCTTCTAGCCATACCAACCGTTCACCCTCTAGCCTACCAATCATTCTCCCTCTAGTCCACCAACCGTTCACCCTCTAGCCTACCAACCGTTCACCCTCTAGCCTATCAACGTTCACCCTCTAGCCTACCAACCGTTCACCCTCTAGCCTACCACCTATTGACCCTCTAGCCTACCAACCGTTCACCCTCTAACCTAAAAACCATTTACCCTATAGCCTACCAAACATTTACCCAATAGCCTACCAACCATTCACCTTCTAGCCTACCAACCGTTAACCCTCTAGCCTACCAACCGTTCACCCTCTAGCCTAAAAACCATTCACCCTATAGCCTACCAAACATTTACCCAATAGCCTACCAACCATTCACCTTATAGCCTACCAACCGTTAACCCTCCAGCCAACCAACCGTTCGCCTTCTAGCCTTCCAACCGTTCACCCTCTAGCCTACAAATCATTCTCCCTCTAGTCTACCAACAATTCACCCTCTAGCCTATCAACCATTCACCCTCTAGCCTACAAAACATTCACCCTCTAGCCTACTAACCATTCTCCCTCTAACCTACCAACTACTCACCCTACTAACCGTTCACCCTACTCAACGTTCACCCTACTCAACGTTCATCCTACTCAACGTTCATCCTACTCAACGTTCAACCTACTCAACGTTTACCCTACTCAACGTTCACTCTACCAAGCATCCACCAAACCGAAAACTTAATAGTATAACTGAAAGATATGTTTAATGGAGATATGTTTATGGAACACTCAACGAGCTTATCATTACTTTGTTTTCTTATTTTAGTTCAAATATTCCTTTAACCTTTATCTCATTCATAATATATTATCTCACCTTAATAACGAGAAGCAAAGTGAGATAAATCTCTAGACATTTACATTCATTTTATATAATTATTTGAATTAATTATGAAGAATGACTGCTGTTAATAGTGAATTTAATGACTTAACCACTAATTAAGTCGGGCCTAAATTTCAAATATTTTAAAGAGATTGTACACGTTTTTCAAGTAATCGTCCATGCAAAGATGGCAATGCCCCCGAATTAATAGGACACCTTTATCTAATCAATAATGGGCAAGTTTTTGTGGTTTTTCTTGGTTTAAAAGTTTTAAGTTCTTTCAAGTCCTATAATATGTTTTCCTGCATTGGAAATAAGTAAGACACTTTTGTAGAGAAACCACAATTGAAAATAATTAGTTTTTTATTATAAACATTGATATCTAATTCATACTTGATCATAAAAAACTTTATGAAGTTAGAAATAATCACTCATTTATCAACAGTTGAGTTTTGTGTTTTTAGAGCAAAAAGTTATTTTTTGGCAGGTTTTCTTGGTTGGTGTTTATTTTAGGTTTCAGATCCGTGGATCAGCATATTTTTTTTGGATCCGAATTAAGGAAGCCAAATTATTCGGATACAACGGATCCCGATCCCAAGCACTCTTTTAGCTGGTTTTAGTTCTAATCCCAAAAATTTAAGAGAATAATGTAAAAAGAAATGTATAGGAGAATCAAACAATTAGAAATTTATTAGAATCCGCGAAATAAAGTTTAACCAACTTGTTGTCTAGGCTGACCTAAATGGCAACGACCAGTCTGTTATCTCGAACGCGACCTCGGCTAGTGGCCTCGACTTCCACTTCAAGAAGAATCTTCTATTCTTCTCTGATGTCGAAAAGAGAAAGGTTTTTCGACTGGAACTTGACTCTACTGGGAAGAATGTGGTCGCAAAGCGAGATTACAGGTATGAAGAAGAGAAATAAAAAAGTAAAAATGTGTTCATGAAAATGAAAAAGTTTGGATAAAATGATTAGGTGGGATCTGCTTTTAAACCTATCCAAGAAACGAACTGTGTGAAAATGGGACTGTAGACATAATTTTAAATAATTCTCCATTAGCGACTCATAACGTACCCTTTATCCGTTTTATTTTATTAAAAATAAGTTTTTAAATTTATTAAATTTGTAGGAATTTTAAGCTAGAAAACCGACTTATCTCGAACTTGTAAAGGTTTAAATTATATCGTTGTTATTCAGACATTTTTAATGATGTATTACAGCGATAGTCCCTTAAAGCTTCTGCTTTAGGGGCCTTATCGTGATAATGAGATTGTAAAAGGTTAGAAATGCATCTATAGTGCCCTTAAAGCTCTTGTACTTTGTACGAACTGCATGAATGTTTGCAAAAGTTAAATCCTCTAGGCTGTGTCGAGGATAGGGCCGGCCTCTTTTATCTCAGTTCTTTAATGGAGGATCAAAGTTTGGAGATTATGAAAACGAGCTTATAAAATGTTTTCTTTGGAAACCACCAAAGAGAATCGGAAACTATGTTAAAGTTTATTTACCTTCACACTCGGAGAATTCAGCCATTTTTATTTTCCACAAGACGGCCATTTTGAATTTAACAAGATTAAAATTAATTTAATCTAAAGAAAACTGGTAAATATGTGCTTTTTGTTAATTTTTAAGAATTTCAAGATTGCTGAATTTTTTGTTCTTGCGGCTTTTGTGACAATTTTAAGAATGGAAAATTTACATACTTTTAGAAAATGAGTTAAATTTTGAATTTAGTTAAACATGAATATGTTCTTGGAAGGAAGGGATGGGGGGGGGGAATAAAAATAAACCTTTATTATCCTGCCTTTAAACCCCTGCTCTAAAAAGCAAGCAGAAAAGTTTAATAGTTACAGTGTAAAGAAAGTAGTACCTCATACAATTCAGGATGAACCTCATACAAGGTTGTGATCACTACACACATTTTAATCTTATTAATCATTCTGTATCATTAATGACAGTCTGTAATGAATCACTCTGTTCCAATTCAAACACTCTTTAATATACTTAATACACACTGTAATCTGCATACACACCAATAGGGTAAACTGTAAATGTGATCTGTAACTTGTAAATACATAAAACGGCGAACTCCAACTGTAGTCCATGTATATACAAAATATGGAGAACTCCAACTGTAATCTGTAAATACACCAATATGATGAATTCCAACTGTAATCTGTATATTCACCAATATGGTGAACTCCAACTGTAATATGTATATACACCAATATGGTGAACTCCAACTGTAATCTGTATATACACCAATATTGAGAACTCCAACTGAAATCTGTATATACACCAATGTGGTGAACTCCAACTGTAATCCGTTATATACACCAATGTGGTGAACTCCAACTGTAATCTGTATATACACCAATGTGGTGAACTCCAAGTGTAATATGTTTATACACCAATATGGTGAACTCCAACTGTAATCTGTATTTTCACCAATATGGTGAACTCCAACTGTAATCTGTATATACACCAATATGGTGAACTCCAACTGTAATCTGTATATATACCAATATGGTGAACTCCAACTGTAATCTGTATATATACCAATATGGTGAACTCCAACTGTAATCTGTATATATACCAATATGGTGAACTCCAACTGTAATCTGTATATATACCAATATGGTGAACTCCAACTGTAATCTGTATATATACCAATATGGTGAACTCCAACTGTAATCTGTATATATACCAATATGGTGAACTCCAACTGTAATCTGTATATATACCAATATGGTGAACTCCAACTGTAATCTGTATATATACCAATATGGTGAACTCCAACTGTAATCTGTATATATACCAATATGGTGAACTCCAACTGTAATCTGTATATATACCAATATGGTGAACTCCAACTGTAATCTGTATATATACCAATATGGTGAACTCCAACTGTAATCTGTATATATACCAATATGGTGAACTCCAACTGTAATCTGTATATATACCAATATGGTGAACTCCAACTGTAATCTGTATATATACCAATATGGTGAACTCCAACTGTAATCTGTATATATACCAATATGGTGAACTCCAACTGTAATCTGTATATATACCAATATGGTGAACTCCAACTGTAATCTGTATATATACCAATATGGTGAACTCCAACTGTAAAGAAAACAATTATCTGAAAACATTTCTCTCTAAAGCTCTTATACTCTGCAGTACATTAAGGAAATAACTCGTTAACATCATATTCTTTATCATAAAGCCAGACCAAACTTCCCCCCCCCCTCCCTCCCCCTCCATCTCCATATTTATGCAGAACCCTTCTCAGTTCCCATAACCATTTACAGAACAACCAACCATTCCAAAATTAACTTCATAAAAACTGCATTTTATTATAATGTGTTTTACTGTACTGCAATGTAAGGTTTTGTTTTGTATTGTACTGTACTACACTGGATAGATTTTTTTGTACATGGATGTACTGACACTGTGCTAAGGAAAGAAAATAGATGATGATTTATGATTAAATTATCTTAAGGATTCTTCATTTAGACTTTTTTCTATTTTACCTTTCTCACTTGTTCTATAACTGTTACAATAATTAAATACATCAGTTTGTACATTGTACAACACTGCAGACTGTACTGTTGTACCATTTTATGTTTTGGTATTATTAACTCCCTCAATATTTAAAAATCTTGTCTGAGGTTGTTTTTGTTGATGTTTTCTCTTTAACAACAAGTTGATAGTTTGTCATGCAAACTCCAGGCAAAACAGAAATATAATTCAGAAATTTAAACAGGAAAGGGACAGGAGATTGAGAACAGAGACAGGGAATCGAGGACGGTGGGAGAGACCGAGGATAGGGTTTAGGAAAAGGGTACAGGAGAAATGGGAAAGAGACAGGGGACAGTAGTGGGGACATAAGAAAGAAGATAGCGGTCAGCGTCAGGGAACAGACGATTGATGGTCAGACGATTGATGGTCAGAAAATAGGGGACATGAGATATCTAGATTTAAATAGGTGACAGGAGATATCTAGATTTAAATAGGGGATAGAAGATATCTAGATTTAAATAAGTACATTTCAGAAAGAACCTAATTAGCCAGGTATAGACAGGACAGGGTTAAAAAGTACATATCTAGGTATATATAAGGACAGGGACAGAAAGAACACATCTAGATAGATAATGAAAGGAATAAAAAGTACATATCTAGGTATATATAAGGACAGGGACAGAAATAACACATCTAGATAGATAAGGACAGGAATAAAAAGTACATATCTAGGTATATATAAGGACAGGGAAAGAAAGAACACATCTAGATAATGATATATATGAGGACAGGGATAGAAGAAAATGAGAAAGGTCTTTACTTTGTTAAAAAGAAAGTTAGATAGCTATAGATTCATTGTATAGAGTAATAGTATAAATAGAATATATTGCAATACTTGGGAGTAAAAAAGTTTTACCTACTTGCTTAGATGATACAACAATATCTATTCCAACTTCCTTCTATAGGGGGAGCAGCCCCCTCCCCCCCCCCTCCTATCTTAAACTATACATTGATATAGTTGCTTTAACCAATTATAAAGTTGTCAGTTACAGATTAAAGGGATTGTATTTGTAATTTCAAATGACATTCTGGATTTACAATAATATCTTTTAATACTTTGTTTCAACAATAATGTAGAAGATAACGTGTTTTTTTTTAACTTAAAGTGTTTATTTCTGACAATTTCCTCCAGTTAACATCAAAGACAAAAATGGAAAATAATAAGTTTTCAAAAAGATGAACATATCATTTATTCAAAGCTTTCAAGGGTATCGTTGAAAATCAGACACTCTAGTAATGGAGAATCACTTAAAGTTACGTCTGCAGTCGTAGGCAGTCATATAAAAAAGTATATAATTGTGAAATTCAGTTATCATAAGAATTTGGAAATATAAAGAAATACACATATACTGTAAGATATCTGTAAGTCTATCAAAAGCTAATATTATGAATGTCCAATAATGAAGTATGTGACTGCCAACACCAATCTGAGTTTGTTGGCTGTAAATAAAGAAAATATAGATTCTTATACAATTTATTCCCTTATTATAACATTGTATAGAGATGTAATTTTTCCAGCCTTTGTCCGACTCTGTCGTCACCAAACTAATCGTTCTAGTCATGTTACAATAGATATGAGACAGTACATTAGATTCTCTTGTTACAATAGATATGAGACATTACATTAGATTCTCTTGTTACAATAGATATGAGACAGTACTATGTACATTGTAAATACATTTGTTTAACAGTTAACAATGAATACTTATTTTTGCTTAGTTAGGTTTATGTCTAGACTCAATCTATTTTATTTGTTCTCCAGCAACCCCAATAAGAAAATGTACTGTCTCTTATATATATATATGGACTCAAACAATCTATTTTAAAGTTTACTGCCTCTTATTTATGTACTCCAGCAATCCATTATAAAAGTGTACTTTCTCTTATATATGTACTCCAGCTATCCATTATGAAAGTGTACTGCATCCTATATATGTACACCAGGAATCCATTAAAAAAATGTATGCCATCTTATTTGTGCACTCCAGCAATCCATTATAAAAGTGAACTGCCTCTAATATATGTACTTCAGCAATCCATTATAAAAGTTTATTGTATTTTAAATATGTACTCCAGCAATCCATTATAAAAGTCTACCTACCTCTTACATATGTGCTCCAGCAATCTATTATTAAAGTGCACTACCTCTTATATATGTACTCCAGCAATCCATATTAAAGATGTGTACTGCCTCTAATATATGTACTCCAGCAATCTATTATAAAAGTGTACTGCCTCTTATATATGTACACCAGCAATCTATTTAAAAAGTGTACTGCTCCCTGTGTTTAATGGGTATAGTTTCCGCATGATAATGTTCTAAGACAACGGGGTATCATACTGAACAATAGAATAATATACTGATCCTTCACATACAAAACAATACATATCTCCTCAGCTACAGATACAGATATAGAAAACCAGGTCCTTATACAGGAGGGGGCCTTGTTTGTTTGCCCTCCCCCATGCAAAATATACAAAAATATATTCAAATATATATGTTCAGTTGGCATTTGATATATTTTCCTAAAGAGGTATATTTATGTACTTGGACAAATATACAATAAACAGTAAGTGTACAAGAGTGCAAAGTTTACTGTACAGTTAAAAGAATTTTAAAAACATTTTTGCACCAAACATTGAGACGTTGATATATTTAATAAATGTTGAGAAAATAGAGTAATTTTGACCTTGAGTCCTAAATTATATCTGAGAAACAGAGACTGGACATAATGAACACATGTGACCGAACAATATCTTCAATATGGTTCCAACCAATTCAAATTGTACAGTACGCCAATAAATTATCTGAAGAGGTTCAAGGGAAGCCGGGGGGGGGGGGGGTTATCCATGGTATTTGAAGTTTTGTTATCTGGAGATTTGGCATGCAATTAAAACTTTTTCATGAGTTCAAACTTTTTCACTGAATTCCTTCCTGAATAGCAATTAAATTCATCAACAATTTGATCCTATGATAATCAAACTTTTTATGATCATTATTTTGTTTTAGTGTCCCTGGCGCTTGGAGTCCTGTATCTATTGCAGTCGACTGGGTTTCCGATAATCTCTACGTCGTCGACAGCCTGGGTCAAAAAATCGACATTTTCGACATTGACGGTGACTACCACGCCATTGTAATGTCGTCCAATCTGACCTCACCGACCGATATTGCGCTGGATCCTAGGAGTGGATTTATGTTTATTACGGATAATAACAGAATACTGCGCGCGCATATGGATGGTTCTCTGGTGAAAACTCTCGTGGAAGACGCGGTGTACAAGGTAATGTCACGCAGCATTTAAAGAGAATGTCAATCTTTAATTAAAGAGGGGCTTACCCGATTCACAACGGTACCCTACCAGCAGTAGCCGTGACTTCTGCTTCAGAATCATTGCAGGATATTGCCAGAATAAACCACTTTTCAATCTAGAAAAACGAAAATTTCTTCCACATTTTTGATGTGATTTTGGTTTAAATTGTATCGTTGGGGATCGGGCCTCCCTTTTTTTAAATGGAGGTTTACTTTAAGTAACAAAGACAGATCATTTTTAAATATTTCTTCTATATATAATTATTATTTGTTGTAGGCAAGTGGTTTATCCCTGGATCTTGTGACTAGTCGAGTTTACTGGTCTGATGTACTCCTAGACTATATTGAGACTGTAGACTATAATGGAGAGAACAGGGTTAATATCATTAGAGGAGCCAATACTGTTCCAGCACCCAATAGGTAGGAACAAGTTGATTAGAGGAGCTAATACTGTTCCAGCACCCAATAGGTAGGAACAAGTTGGTTGTAGATTCTAACATGATTGAACACAGCCATGGAATTTTCGACATGTAAAAGTAATAAATTCAGCATGTTATGTTTTGAGCACAAAAAAGAATAATTTTGTAATGCCACTTTGGGCTTGCAGTTAGAGTGGAAGTAGGTCACCCTGAGATTCGTAGGTTGATTTGAATAAATTGATTTTAGTTAAATGGTAATTGAGTTAATGTAAGGATAGTTTGTGTTATAAAGTTAGTGTATGCAAGGTATTAAGTGGCATGAGCTAAGATTTGTTTGCGTGATTTTTATCGAGTTAAAATTAGTGTTCATGAGTGATCGAGTTAGCTTATCTGTCACTCAGTGTGTGAGTCGGTGACGAAATTAGCGGTGGTTGTAATCATGAGTAAGTTGACGATTTCGTCGATTTTGACGATTTTGATGATATTTGTGTTAAGGTTGACGATATTTGAGAGATCAGTATTCTGGACGGATACTACTAAGCAGGGTGTTCTCCAGGTGGATAAATTTAACGGCAAGGAATCCATCTCTACTATATTCAACGAACAGGTCAGATCAATTATGTTTTTTAAAAACATTTTTTTTTATAGATTGTCGCATTACATTCGTGTTCATTTATTTATTCAAAAAATTCAACTAATTAAAAACATTTTGAATATTAGCAAGCGCTTATAATAAATAGAAAAATTGCTTTTTTTTTACAATTCTAATTTGCAAAAATGAGTTTTTAAGAGAACAAATGTAATAAGCAGATGTGTATAAGCTGTATTTGTCCAGAAGTGGCTTATCTTTCTTTGAGATAAAAATAGTGTAGATTAATTTTCAGAAATTTCTTTTCGCTTCTTTACTAAGTTGGTAAAGGAAATTTCTTTAGTTAGAAAAATTACACATAAATAAAATATAAAAGTATTTGTGCATTCTAATATGGGCTTGATTAGAATCATATGATCAATATTTGGAACCCCCTTACATTATCTTATTATCTGAACAATTCTATTTAATTGTATATAAACATTTAAACATGTTTGAAGTAGATGAAACCCATTTCATTCTAAGGTTTTATATGCTATTACAAAGGAAAACTTATAAATTTAAAATTGTGTAACGGGTTTCCACATCTTTTTAAAAAATGTCTGAATTACAACGGTACCCTTAAAAATTTATTATTAACAAAAATGTGGAAGAAAACGGTCGTTTTTAAGCTTAAATTATCATCCAAAGCGAGGATCACTTGAAATTACGTTTACTATCTTTATTTTTTTTTTTAATAATGTTGTTAGGATCTTACTTAGATTT